CACTCTCATTAAACTTGGAAATAATGTCATCGTTTTTTGAATCAACACTTTGTTCAGTTTTTACTTTGACAAATGTGTTCTAGAACAGAAGAAAAATCAATAATTCTATCAATACAGAACACAATCTAAACAATATCTTTACAAAAAAACTGATTTACATAACAAACGCACGTAATGTCAGTAGTTGACGTGTTTTAAATTGTAAACTCCACTTTTTTACTTTGACAGATTTGTTCTAAAACAAGAAATTATCAATAATAATTAATGTTGTCAATAAATATAACTTGTCTGTATAATCATAAATATATTAGATACAACGTGACAGTATAACCACAGATACGTTACATACAAAGTAAAACCATAGATACCTCAGATACAACATGACAGTATAACCATAGATACAATAAATACAAAGTGACCGTGTAACCATAGGTGAACTAGACATAATATGACAGTATAAACACAGGTACATTACATACAAGGTGACTGTATAAACACAGGTACATTACATACAAGGTGACTGTATAAACACAGGTACATTATATACAAAGTGACAGTAAAACCATAGATACATTGGATACAATGTGACAGCATAACCATAGATACATTGGATACAACATGACAGTATAACCATAAATACATTAGATACAACATGACAGTATAACCATAGGTACAATAAATACAAAGTGACTGTATAAACACAGGTACATCAGACATAATGTGACAGTATAAACACAGGTACATTAGATTCAAGGTGACAGTATAAACACAGGTACATCAGATACAAGGTGACAGTATAAACACAGGTACATTACATACAAGGTGACTGTATAAACACAGGTACATTACATACAAGGTGACTGTATAAACACAGGTACATCAGACATAATGTGACAGTATAAACACAGGTACATCAGACATAACGTGACAGTATAAACACAGGTACATTAGATACAATGTGACAGTATAAACACAGGTACATTAGATACAACGTGACAGTATAAACACAGGTACATTAGTTACAACATGACAGTATAAACACAGGTACATCAAACATAATGTGACAGTATAAACACAGGTATGTTAGATACAACGTGACAGTATAAATACAGGTTCATCAGATATAATATGACAGTATAAACACAAGTACATTAGATATAATGTGACAGTTAATGAAGATGGGGTGGTTGTTGTTTTCACCATGTGTGTGAATACTGAATACATTGTAATTGTATCTAGTATACCTGTGTTTATACTGTCACGTATCAAGTATACCTGTGTTTATACTGTCATAAGAATTTCAAAGTCATATCATCTGGATCATCCACTACTGAACTTGTAATTAAAGGAAAGTTTATTTATTATAAACGAACTCTCAACTTTAATAACACAGCTTCACTACAATTCAGTCTGTTCTGAATAACTTGTATAATGTGGTTACAAATATTACACTTTCCTATTCTTTCTTATTTATATATTTTTTTAATTCACTTCATCCCTTTATTTTATATTTTAATTACTTGTTACAAAATGTTTGAACTATATATATAAATTTTGTACCTAATATTTTATCTTGCTGAGTATAACTTATTCAAGATGGAATATGTACATTCTGAAATGTTGAAGAATTAAATGTTTATTACTATACACACACACGGCAAATGTTCATTGTTGTTGCCATCGTTCTACTGTTCATCAAAGTTATATATTTTTATTCATAGCCAAACTTTTTTCAAATGTTAATTATTTAAAAAAAATTATCATCCCTAGTTAGATATCATACAATTTCAATATTGCATAAATGTTCTCTAATAATTTCTAATTATTTTGTCTAATTAAAGAATCATAAAATTTTTTAATCGACAAATTACCTCAGTATCATTAGGATTTTCATACTTTTCTTCTTTTATTTTACAATCAAAGATAGTAAATGAAGATCCTTCTTCTGGGCTAGTAGCTTCTGTTGTTACTATAGGTGTAAAATAGATACTTTTGTTACATATTTTAAAATAACTTCTGTAAATCACTACATTATAACAATTTCTCACTGTGAGTTGAAACATTTTCTTTACTTTATTACAGTTCCACCTCTCTCGACTTGACTATCATACAGATACACCAACATTTAATTATAATAAAGTAGACCGATAAATAATTAATTTTAATTATGTGTCATATTATTCCTCCAAGTGCAGTTTTTGATGTAAAAATAATTCACAAATAAGTTATTCTAATAATATTTTTTAGATGTATAATATTTATAATATGTAGTATAGGATGTCCATACATTATTGAACTTTTTAAATGAATGGAATGGGAACCACACCAGATAAAAAAGTTACAACTTATGGCATGTAATAAACAGACTAATATCTGATAGTTAGAAGTATTTGACAGATATTGTGCATCTTTAAATGAAGCTCTCCATCCAGAGATGAAACACTGAATCTATTATAGCTACAGATAAACAAGTAAAAACACCATGTAGAAGTTATGGGATCATCACATCTAGCAGTACCGGAACATCAAGTAGTTAAACAGAATATAAACCACAAGACAATCACCAAGAACACTTAATCATTGTTTGTTATTAAAATACTATTCTGTACTTTTAAACAAAAGCTGGTTGTAATGGTAAAAAATAATAAAACAACATTAGTTACACTTGTTCCTTCCTTCTATCTTTATAATGAAAGTCTTTGTACAACAGACCTGTTTCATATCTGTGTGGTGAATTCAAATTTGATGAAGTCTTTGTACAACAGACCTGTTTCATATCTGTGTGGTGAATTCAAATTTGATGAAGAGGAACATAAGTTTAACATAACAGCAAATGTACAACAGACCTGTTTCATATCTGTGTGGTGAATTCAAATTTGATGAAGAGGAACATAACAAATACATGTTACCATCTGATATCACATAGATGTATAATGGTACCTGATGAGGACAAAACCTTGTCGAAACGTTGTACATTTGCTGTTATGTTAAACCCTACCCCCTCAGTTAATATATATTTCAAACTTCCTGTTTTCTACACATTCAATTTGGATGTATAACATCACTCAAGTAAATGGCAATTCTTCTATATTTTAGTTGCACATGGCACCTTCATCCACTAATTGCCTGTTAACCTGTGACTTCATTCATGATGTCCTGAAAGAGTCAACTGTCTTTTATGTCAACAAATTATGTAATGGTTTGGGGCTTCCTTGTTATTGAATATAACTGGATAAATGTAAAGTAAGTGAAGTGTGCTCTGTGAGAAACTTAGCTTTGTTAACCTTATTGTATTTTTAGTATTAAAGCTACGTTCACCTCTGTTAGGCAGAATGTTTGGTGAAATTTTTGAATGATCTAGATTTTATAAGGTTTGCTAGAATTTTGTAACAACTTCAACTTTTGTGTAACTTAACACAAAGGTTTCTTTTGTTGTACTCATGGGTTTTGAACTTTTGATTTGTAGTTTTATTTTCGTTTTCTATTGCCTTACAGTGAGATTCACATTAGATTGGTAAGAAAGAACCAACAAATCACAATTCAGAGCTACAGACACACACTCTATGACAATATTCTTCAAGCCTCCTGTTAGCTGGCCGTACATATAGATCTGTGTAGTGTACCAAAGTATATCCCATCTACATGTTATTTATGTCAGGTCCAGTGGTTTTAAACTCTTTAAATTACAGTAGATCAATGTTTGATCCAAAATATTTATATTTTTAATTTTTTATAAGCAGCCATCTGAATTCTGAGAAATATAATTTTTTTATAAAATGGCAAACCTTGAGTAAGGTTGTGTCTGCTGTATTTTCTAATAAAAAACCATGGGATATAGTATACATCTTATTTTGAACTAATTTATTTAATCCATTTTACTTATTATTGTGATACTGAATAATGTGTTTCAAATATATACAATTGTTAGAATTTAAACAAGAACTATACAATTTTTTTAAATATTACATTATACCCAATTATACAAATTTTTACAGAAACTCTAAAAGATTTGATTTGAATATCATGCAAAGCGACACAAGGACTATTTGAGCTAGCTGTTCCTAATTTGAAGTGATAGACTAGAGGGAAGGCAGCTAGTCAATATCACCCATTGCCAACTTTTTGACTCCTCTTTTACCAAAGAATAATGAGGTTGACCATCATATTACAACTCCCCTACAAATAAAAGGGTGATTAGGATTTGAACCTGTGATCCTCAGATTGCGATTCAAGCACCTTAACCACCAGGCCATACCATGCCTCAACTTTAAGGGATTTTTCATAATAATATTTCATTTCTTACATCACAGTGTTGGTTAAGTCAACTTATTCTACCAGTTCTATAATCATTATGTCTTGATGGTTTCTACTCACTGAAATACATTATGACTGTTCACAAAAAACAATTCTTCTCATGATGGACAAATGACCAATATTACAAAATGTCTAGTGCAACATCTTACAATAAACAAAAATGTAAACAATAAACATAGAAATTATGGAATTTCTTTGTTAGGAATTAATCACTCGTTCCTGTGCTAGTGGATAGTAATAATTGTATCTGTAATGTAATTTGTAGAAATTATGATAATTAATGTCAGTTAACACATTAAGAGAATTTTTTGTGAATATTTGTTCTATGTTACAATGGATTCAAATCCTAAATATTTGAACTTACTACAAGATGACGTTTTTGTTTCTTTTTTCAGAAGTTTGACTTCCAAAAATGCATTCTTCTCGTCAGACATATGTTCAGTTTTCATATTCAACCTTTTCAAGACTTCACTATTTCTACTTTCACTTTCATTGGTGTGCTCTTATAGTTATATGGTATTTCACGTTTGCTATTACTTTTCTCAAGAACCAAGTGAATTACAATTCGTATATTATCGAAAGTTTATTACGCTAAGCTTTACAAACACAGTATCTCAAACTTCCAACTTTATTAGAAAATAATTACTTTGCCGCATGCCATACGTTTCGAAGTCAAACTCAAAGTTTTAATCAAGTTTCAAAATGAAGCACCAATATCAATAGGCACGTTTCTATACAGTTATATATCTTTTAAGGAACTAGTAAGAAATTAAAGAAACATGTTTTCCTTTCACATTTTATTTTAATGCATTTTAAAACACTCAGTAATACTCGTAATTAACAACGAAGATTACTGCTAACCTTCCTTACGTTACGAAATTAATTAATAAGTAGCAGTGTTACCAACTCTGAAAGACAGGAAAGTCCTTATAAAACCTTAAAAACTCGCTAGATGTCGCTATATAGACTTTTTTGTTGTTGTTGTTTCTAAAGGCGTATAAAAATCACTAAATAAAGTCTGCATATAATTCAGTAGAGCATTAAAACAAATATCTTAATAATTCTATATATACAATACAGCATGGGTAATTTTCATTACAATGAAAAGACACTGCTCAAACAATAGGTAACATATTTTACATATTAAATAAAATCAGAGCTATATCTCCAGAAAGTAACTGGATTAGTGAACATGTACGGTATCGATAGCCCTAAGGAGGCTATAACAGTGAAATATTGAGCTAATAAAATTATGTTACGTATCTGCTTGTTTTTTAATTTCCGGTAGAAATTCTTTCCGAGAGACTTCAGCGATACAAGTCATTTCTTGGTTAAATTAGTTTATTCTTTCTCGATACAAACTTTTAGCACACAGTAATTTCACAATCAATACGTTTCTCGTCACTTTAAACTTCTCTACTTTTATAATGCACACTATAAATTACAGCGATTCACAATCTTGATAGCTTCACACTCTAACTCGAAACAGAATCGTAAATTACCCGGAACTCTCTTCATTCAAATCCCGCAGGCCTTCTCTCCCAGGCTTATATACTAAAAAAGAGGGCGTCTCGAATAAACTCGGTCTTCCCCGATAATTAATGATCATTCGAGAAATTCGGCACGTGCTATCAGAGTCACGTGACTTCCGCTGTCGTAACAGTTACATTCTGGAGATTTAGGTCGCTATTTTATTTACGTTTATGTAAATGTCTTATAATAAACCCCAGTTTGCGTTAAACAAAGTTAAAAATAATAATATTTTATATATTCACTAAACCATGAAAATGTTTTAACACCAGCTGCTTCTAAATAATTTTGTTACTATATAAATTGATGATTTCCTATTTTGACGATCGAATTTCATGTTCTGTTGTTTCTTTAGTTTTTCTACAGTTGAAAATCTAAAGAGAGAACAAACAATTATTTTTAGTTGTTGAATATGAGGTGGATCAATACCTTGTTTTACTTCTTTCTTTTGGTATCACTGTTATCAGCAATGAAAGTCGCTTTGAGAAACATTTTCGCTAGGGGGGCTCAAAAGTCGCGATAGGTCCGTCCAAACTGGTAATGCCGATGTATATACACTGAACTGGACTGAGCATTGACCCCTTTTACATGCATTCTGCAGAAGTTATAGTGCTTTTTTTTTTTAATAGAAAAAACACATTGTACTATAACCTGTATTCGCGGCAAAGAATCAAATATCGAAATTTAGCGTTCTAAGTCAGCAGTAACTTTACTTACTTAAAAGTTTAAATCCAGGGCTAGATTCCCCGCGGTGGGGAAAAGGAAATAGTCCATTGTGTAGCTTTGCGCTAAATACCAACAGCTTGAGGAATATTACTCATCATATTTCATAAACGTAACATGCTAACCTTGCACTCACAAGATTTAAAAAAAACTGTAATGTCTCATTTAGAATGAGTTAAAACTGTTCATTACTGTTATCATGTGTCATAATTAAAAATTATAGTGACTGTTCTCTCTTTTTTAATTATGTAAATACTACAGTTTTGCCTTTATCTTTACAAAAACTGTGATACAGCGTCTTTCATAAACAGACAGTACTTTTATTTTAAGGTTGTATTTTGCAAAGCCACCTCAATAAACAAGAAAGTGAACCCTTCAAACTATATACAAATTTAAATACTT